TAAAGATACCATACTTGATTGAACATTCCCCCTGTTCTTTCTTCTGCGTGTTTTTCTGTTCCAGTGCTGCAGCCTTGGCTTAAAGCACAGTAAGCTATGTGTTACTCACAACACAAGGTTAAATGTAATCTAGCTGCTGGTCAGAAGGCCTCGTCTCTTCCCGCTGCTCCACATTGATTTGGCCATAGCCTGCACTACATTGACTTTCTCACTGTCAATAGAAGACTGTCAAGAGCCACAAGGGGAAAAACACCACCTAGGATTCAAGTTTTTTCATCTCATCTTTCCTCTGTTTCTTCCTCCTCCTATCCTAACCCCCCTCCCTCCCTCCCTCACTCTCACGCACCCTCTCTCTCAACCCTCCCCCTATTCTAACCCCCTCCCTCACTCCCACCCTCTCTCTCTCCCTCCCCCTATCCTAACCCACCCCTCACTCCCAACCTCTCTCTCTCTCCTTACCCCCTATCCTAACACCCCTCACTCCCACCCTCTCTCACTCTCTCCCTCCCTCCCCTATCCTAACCCCTCCCTCCCTCACTCCCACCCTCTCTCTCTCCCCTCCCCCTATCCTAACCCACCCCTCACTACCAACCTCTCTCTCTCCTCCTTCCTCCTATCCTAACACCCCTCACTCCCACCCTCTCTCTCTCTCCCTCCCCCTATCCTAACCCCCCCCTCACTCCCACCCTCTCTCTCTCCCTCGCCCTATCCTAACCCCCCTCCTTCATTCCCGCCTCTCCTCTCTCCTCCCCCCCTATCCTAACCCCCCCTCACTGCCCACCCTCTCTCTCGCTCTCCTTCCCCCTATCCTAAGCCCCCTCCTCCCACCCTCTCTCTCCCCCTCCCCCTATCCTAACCCCCCCTCACTCCCACCCTCTCTCTCTCGCTCTCCTTCCCCCTATCCTAACCCCCCTCACTCCCCACCCTCTCTCCTCCTCCCTCCCCCTATCCTAACCCCCCTCACTCCCAGCACTCATCTTCCCCCAAACCACAACTATATCTCTCCATCCATCCCTCTACCCATTCTCTTTTCTCCTGTCTATCTTCTCACTCTATTGTCTCTCTCTTGTTATTCCCTTTCACTACATTTTCACCCTCTATTTACTGTCTTCCTCTCACTCCTGCCTCTATCTCTTTCTCTCCTCCTCACCTTCTTTCTCTCTCTCCTCCTCTCCTGCTCTCTTTCGCACTTTCCATCCATCTCCAACACTCTCTCATGCAATTCAGTTCTAATGGGCTTTATTGGCTTGCAGCAATCCATCTGAGCACAGCAGCTCAGTTCAATTACATAAGCAGGCCCTCAGGGCTTTGCAGAGACAATCAGTAACGTTCTCCTCTGAGCTCCACCACCACCATCCCACCACCACGCCATCCCACCGCACCACCACCACGCCATCCCACCACCCACGCCATCCCACCGCACCACCACCACCACCATCCCACCACCACGCCATCCCACCACCGCACCACCCCACCACACCACCACCACGCCATCCCACCACACCACCACCACGCCATCCCACCACACTGCCACCACGCCATCCCCACCACCACGCCATCCCACCGCACCACCACCACGCCATCTCACCACACCAACCACAACACCACCATCCACCAACCACCCACCAGCCATCCACCAACACCACCACGCATCCCACCACACCACCACATCCATCCACCACCACCACCCACCACCATCCCACCACCACCACCACCACACCCCAACCACCGCCATCCCACACCCCACACCCACCCACACACCACCACCAGCCTCCCACACACCGCCACACGTCATCCCACCAACAAACACCACCACACCATCCCACCACCACCACCCATCCATCCAACACCACCCACCACCACACATCCACCACCATTCCTACCACACCACCCGCCACTCCAACCCCCCTACCAGCTCTCCCACGCCATCCACACACACACACCACACCACGACCACTCCCCACCTCACCCACCACACACCACCACCCCACCACTCCATCCCACCACACACCACACCCAACCACCCCCCCAACCGCCACCACGCCATCCCCCACCACACACCACCAATGCCATCCCCACCGCACACCACACCATGCCATCCTACCAACCCACCACATTCCAACCACACACACCATGCCAACCCACACCAGCCATCCCACCACGCCATCCCTGCCATCCCCCACCACACAACCACACCATCCACCACACACCATCCCACCAACCACCACCAGCTCCCACCACCCACATCACCCACCAACACCGCACCATCGCCCACACCACCACCACGCCATCCCCCCACCGCCACCACGATCCATCCAGTACACTAAAACCATCCCACCACCATCTCACTCCTTAACAATGGTGGCGACTGCAACCAACCAACGCTCCATCCAGACTAACAGCAATCCGATGAGTACAGGCTCTCTTGTGCATTCAGCTCACCCAAAACAAAACCTCATATCTATATTACATATGTACGTGGGAGCTTGACACGTGCACGTGTATAATGCGCATGCACATCCACATTCTCTCTCACACACACAAACATGCACGCGCACACACACACAAATTAGCATGCACACACACACAAACACACATATGCACACTTACACACACCACACACACACACACAGACTTAAACCTGCTGAATAAAGATTTCACTTCATTGGGCCAGGCTCCACAGAGACTCACCAACCTCTCACTCTCTATCTGGTTTTCAAAGATTTCATCCAGACACAGCGAAAAGCTCCTGCAACAAATTGGCCTCCGTTTTGTCCTGATTTTGCGCTTCACGGCCACATCAGACACTAGATAACTCTGGGAGCTGGTTGACAGTGTGAGGGGGAGTTTTTCAGATCTGTCATAGTGAGCTGTTTTAGCTGACTCATCGTCGCCACAAAGTCTTGCCGTGTCAGGTGCCCCACCCCAGTGCACCTTGGGATTTCCAGAGGCATGCGTGGCTAATCCAAGCCCCTAACTGAACACTAACCTGACTTCGACCTCTCTCTTCCTCTCTCCCTCCCTTCCTCTCTCTACCTCCTTCATCTCCCCCTCTCTCTGTCCCTCTTGGACTCGACAAGACAGGACCCCCTCCAGGGAGCTCTGAACTCCAGTACACCCAAAAAAGAGGGCAAACTACTGCCAAGGTCAGAAAAGTAGGAGGGAAGCAGAGAGAGAGAGAGAGAGAGAGAGAGAGATAGAACAAAGAGAGGATAAGAGATATAGACATTTAGAGAGAAGGAGTAGGAGAAAGATATATAGAAAGAGAAAAACAGGAGGATCGCTTGACAGAGAGAGGAAGGGAAACAGATAAATAAGAAGAAGAAAGAACGAAGACCCAGAAAAAGAAGAACCATTCTAGGAGACAGACGATAGAGACGAAGGAAGAGAAGAACATTTTCTTGAAGTGTGGACGGACTTCAAAGCCAGGCATGCCTAACCTGGTTGGCACAGTGAGAGAGAGAGTGTGGCTTTAGCTCTGGTGGTGGCTGCTCTGGCTAGATGAAAGGTGGCATTCCCACCCACATCCTCTCTCAACGGAGGACGGTTAGAGTGTCGTTTGATGCCTGCCGCTCCCGCCACCCGCCGCTACTGCTCAGGAGAGGGTAAGGAGGGAGGGGATTATGGGAGGAGGGGAAGGGGGGGAGTAGGGGAGCGGATGGGGGCGTAGCCTAAGGCGACCCAAAATGTTACGCAACAACCCCCCTCTGTCTCCATCTCCCGCTTTCCCTCTTTCTCTTCCTCCTACACTTTTTTTGATCTTCAGCTGTCAGATGTAAAGGTTGCAGTGAAAGGAGCAACCACTAGGGGGCCACAGCCATTGGGTACACTGACTATACTGTCTACAGATGCTGAGTTAAAAACTCAACCCCTAGCCCGACCCCCTGTTCCCCTCGCAGTCTCACATCTGTAAAGTATAAACAACTGATGAAGTGGCTCACACGTTTGATGTCTACATCTGTGTCTGTGATATGCTTCTGGTGTCTCATTCAAAAAGCTACGCTAGGATTGATGGTGAATGGATTCGGAGGATATGGAGGGTAAGCTGAACCTAGATCTGTGCCTTAGGGCAACTTTTCGCCGCAAGGCAGTGGTTGTCATGGCGAAGGTGGCTCACCGTACACCAGCAGCGTGTAGTGGTCGGCGGCACGGCCATAGTTGTTCTGCGCCTGACACAGGTAGGTCCCGTTGTGTGATTGGCTGAGACGGGACACCTGGAGGGTGGGGCCAGAGATCTCCGCCCTCTCAGGTAAGGTGTCATTAATCCTAGACCACTGGACATCCCTAGGCCTGCAGAGAGAGACAGGAGGGAGGGAGTGGACGGAGGGAGAGGGAGGGAGGGAAAGAAGATAGTGGGAGAGGAAAGAGTGAGAGAATTAGATAGAGTGGGGGAGAAACAAGGGGAGCAAGCAGCGTTGGGGAGTAGAAAGAGAGAAAAGATTAGGACAAAATGAGAGAGTGGTGGAGGGAGAGGGGGGTTATGGGAAATAAAAGGCGAGGAGGGAGTGAGAGAGATTTTAAGTTAGACCAACGGAGAGGAAAACAGCATGACAGAAAATAATTGGGGAGATTTATGGACAGAGAGAGAGAAGGAGAGGAGAGGGAGCAAAGAAAGATGTTGTGTCAGACGGAGAGAGGGAAAGCGGGACATGGGAGGAGAGAGCCAGGGAAGGAGATAGAGAGACAGAGATTTATGGGGGAGAGATGAGAGAGGGAGAGGCAGAGAGTAAGACAGGAAGATGGAGAGAAAGAGGTGGAGACACGAAAGACAAAGAAAAGTGAGACAGAAGGCGAGTGAGACAAAAGATTATTGGATTACACGCAACAACGAACACACACACAGACACACCACACACTCTCACACAAAGACACAAATCCCTGTGTGTGTGTGTGCATCCCCTGTGCTGTGCTGGCTGTCCCTCTCATCCCACCCTGGCCAGATTACAATCCCAGCTCATCTACACCCTAATCCCTGAGGAAAGCATCTCATTAAAACCCCCTGCTCATCCTCACACACACACACACACACACACACACACACACACACACACACACACACACTTTAATAAACACACCCCTCCAACAAAGACAGGCAGTGTAATGAATTGGTGATTAACGGTTAACAGGAAGTTTGTCCGGGGCCTGAGAGTGAGGGGGGTACCGGGGGTGTGTGTTAAGGAGCGTGTGGTGAGGTCACTCCAGCGTGAGATGAGGCAGGGGCAGTCCAGTGGATCAGCCACCACAGCCCCATCTCTCATGTCACTGTCCCCAGCTGGCTGTTACTGATCCTCACTGGGCCACACATACTGGCTCCTCAGCCTGGCTTTATTGTGGGGCTTTACTATGGCTTTACTCACCACACACACACACACACACACACACACACACACACACACACACACACACACACACACATACATACACATACAAACACACACACACACACACACACACACAAGCACATACACACACAAACCAGTTTTTATAGAGCGTAATGAAGAGGCTTTAGTTGCCTCAGAAACACACATGCACAACAAACACATCACAGTGTCTACAAGGGGCTTGTTTACGGCCTCCTCAGACACTTTATGGGGATCCAGAGAATGTCTCAACTCCTACAGATACTCCTAAACCAGCTGTAGTGTGAGCACAGCATACACACACAGCAAATGCACAAACCAATCAAACAATCTCATAAATGTGTGTACATACAACACACACACACACACACACACACAGTACACACTCACAGTGGGTTGCCAGTGATGGAGCAGGTGAGGCTGAGAGAGTCTCCCTCTCGGAGGATGCCAGGGGGAGGGATGATCCTCACTGTGGGGGCAACTAGGGAGAGAGGAGGAGGAAGGAACTGTAACACATTTGTTACCATGGTAACCAATCAGAGTGACGGTTGGAGGTTCTGTTATCATAACAACCCTCAGCGTGAAACAGCTGCTGCTTTGTTAATGGCTTCGGTGAATAGACACACTCATATGTGTTGCTGTGATAGCCATGCAGGGCCATTTAAGCGGCAACAGTTTGGCAATGACACTGATTATGTAGATTTAAAGTGTAGAAAATGCTGATCAAACTCATAAATGGTGAGTTGATAAGTCATTTATAACAGAAGGGTTGACCACCCCAGACACCAAACACATATGAGTCATGACCATCAGAAATGAAGGTGATACAGCGCCAGTGTGTTGCCATGGTAACCCTCGGTGGCTGACCAGTCACTCACAGTGGACGTCGAGGCGGTAGTGGCGGACCCTCTTCTGACCCCCCAGGGCGGGGTGGGAGGCCTCACAGCTGACCGCTGCCCCGTTGTCTTTCCTCTCCACAGGTAGACGGATGGTACTGGACACACTCACTGTCTTCCCATTTTCCTGCTGGGACACCACACCTAGAGAAGGGGAGGGAGGGAGGGAGGGAGCATATCAGAATTGTATTGAGTCAGACAGAGGACGAGGAGCGATAGCAACAGAGAAGAGAGGGAAAGGGAGCGGGCGAAAGAAGAAAGAGAGAAGGGAGAAGAGAGAAGGACACATGGAGAGAGTGAGAAGGGCGTGATTGATGACAAGGAGAAGAGGAGAGAGGGATCCGGACAGGCTCAGACATAAAAGACAGATAAAGAGAGCGTGAGATGCGATTAAAAATATAAAAAGACTCCAAAAGAGGCAGGGGAAGAAGAGGAGAAGGAAGAGGAGGAGGAAGAGGAGGAGGGATGGTAGAGGCCAAAACTGAGGCCTCGCGGTCACGTAATAGCAATTTGTAAAAATATGACAATAACTAACACCATGCTGAGTTTTCAATTATTTCAGCTGAGTGAACAAAAGCAGGCCCAATTGAAGCGTGAGATGAGGGCAGGGAGATACTGTCTTAATTACTGATACATTCTATCTGTCAGGATCTGGAGCCTAACCTTTAATGTCACAGGACCCCCTCCACAGCACAACAGAGCAGAACAGAAAGCAGGGCTGTCTGCTGGCTGCTGTAGGCCCCACGCATCAGCCCACGGCGCTTGCTACGTAACCTTGTCACATCAGGGGACAGACATCTTTGTGAACACGGCATGAAAGGAGGAGACAGAGAGAGAGAAGAGGAGGAGAGGAAGAGGGGATGAAGAGAAGAGGAGTGAGGGAAAGGACAGAGTGTAAGGGCACAGAGACGTGCTGAGTTGGAGATTGAGATGGAGAGACAGGATGGGAGTGAGAGAGGGAGTGAGAGAAAAAAATAGCGAAATAAGAGAGAGGTGGAGGGTATAACAGGACAGACAGAGGGATAGACAAACAGAGAGAAAGAGATGGACAGAAGGACAGATTAAATGGTAAACAGAGTGATAGCAGGATGGAAGGCTTATCAGATGGGGAGTAAAGGGGGAGCTAGATTGAAGGCTAGACAGAAAATGAGAGAGTATACTGGAGTTTGAGAAAGAGAGACAGATTGATAGATTGACACAGAGACAGGCAGGCGGATAGATAGGGAATGCAGGAAGTGAACAGAGAGAGAGAGAGAGCGAGAGAGATGCAGAGAGAGAGGTATGACTGAACAAAGACAGACAGACAGATACTGATAGATAGAATGACAGAGCGACATAGATCTTCAAAGGATGGACAGACCTGGTATCTCCCGGCGGTCCCTGATCCAGCGCAGCGTGGCGGGGGGCTTGCTGCGTGGCGACAGACAAGTGAGCTCCACCTCGCCCCCCTCCACGGCCTCCTGCTTCACCTCCACCGTGGGGGTGTCGGGAGGGACGGACACGGATAGCGTGGCCACTTGGTGGTGGGTGTCGTCGGTGTAGAGCTGGCAGAAGTAGCCGCCCTCGTCCGACACGCTCACGTTGGTGAGGGTGATGCGCACGAGGCGGGGAGTGAAGAGTACCATCTGGAAACGGTCGTCCTTCAACGCTGGGGAGGGGATGGAGGAATATAGGGAGACAGGGAGGAAGAGAGTGTAGGAGGGAGTCAAGACACAATTGGAGATAAACGCATAAATATATGGAAAGAAAAGCAAGGCCAAAAGAAAAGAGGACAGGGGGAGTAACAATAGAAAGGGGGATAGTGAAGGAGAAGAAGAATGAAACATGGTTAATCCAACAATCCACTGTGACCTCCTGACCAAGGCCATAGTATCATAGTAACCACAGAGGCGGTGAGAAGAGAGAGAACCTAGAGAAAGGACATAGGGAGAGAGCAAAACTATTTTTCTTTCGTTGTCAGAGAAAGGGAAAAATCAATTGTGAGAAAATCATGATAATAACAAATAATACTAATAACCATCAGTGTGACAGGGACTCGATGGCCATTGTCTCATAAACCTCCCCAAACCCACTTTGTATCGACTGACTGACTGACTGCACAACCTCTCTCTTTCCTCTCTACCTCCCTCTCTTCCTCTCTTTTTATTACTCTCGTTCTCCCTGCTCTTTTGTGTTTGCTTCTGCATTGGGAGAATTGCTTCTCTCTTCCCTGGTGTAATACTCCACCATTTCACAACATCATTCATTATATCCGAGGTTTAGTGTGTGTATGTGTGTGTGTGTGTTCTGTGTCTGTGTGAAACACAGATAAATATATTGTAGACAGAGAGAAAAATAGTATACATTTGCCTTAGAATACTATTTCACTAAGCTCCCTGAATGTGAGAGTGATTCCTGAATCCTGACAGAAAAATACATATTATTTTCCCCCTCTCACTAAATGGCAACTAAATGTCACAGCTTTGTTCAAGTCCTATTTCACCTTTTGTCCCAGCTCATTTGCATGCCAGGCAGTCAGAGCTAGAGGAGATAGATGGGATCCACAGGCAGTCAGAGCTAGATGAGATAGATGGGATCCACAGAGTGTCACGGTTTCGGCCGAGGCTGCCTCTCTTCCTTGCTCGGGCAGGCTTCGGCGGTCGTCGTCTCCGGAGCACTAGCTGCCACCGTTGTATGTTTCGATGTTCGTTTGGTTTTGTCTTGATGTTGTACACCTGTTATCGTTTAGCGTTCATTATTGTCCTATAAGTTCTCGTTGTGTTTGTCATGTGTTGTGTGTGATTGAACTTGCTGTCGTGTATGTCTGTGCTTCGTTCGCTCCTCTGTGTTGGAGAGGTTCTCGCACGTGTTTGTGCGTTATTGTTATTTTGTTTGATTTTACGCCTGTGTGCATAATCGCTCGTATCCAAGCTCTTTTGACTCGTTTTGAGTTTTGGTTCACTAAAGTCTATTGGACTAAGTTCCTGCGTCCTGCGCTTGATTCCTGCACCACACCTTCACAGCACACCTTCTGACAGAATCACACACCGAAGATGGAATCAGCAGGAGCCGCAGCAGCACCTGAGTCTCTGGAGGAGCGGGTCCGCGAGCAGAACGACCAGATCCTTCGTATCGGGACCACCCTTCAGGACGTGATCAACACGCTTCAACGCTGGGAGACCAGAGGGACACCCACACCTCCACCTTCCGTGCCATCACCATCGGCCAGTCAGCCCATACAAGCTCCGGAACCCAGGGGAATTCGGCTCTCGCTCCCGAGGGCATATGATGGGACCGCTGCCGGGTGTCAGGGCTTCCTTCTACAGGTGGAGCTATACCTGGCCACCGTACACCCGGCGCCCTCAGGACACGAGAGCGTGTCCGCCCTCATCTCCTGTTTCACCGGCAAGGCGTTGGAATGGGCCAACGCCGAGTGGAGGAGAATAGACGCCTCCATTATCACCTACTCAGAGTTCTCCCGCCGCTTCAGGGCTGTGTTTGACCATCCACCTGAGGGGAAAGCGGCGGGGGAGCGTCTATTCTACCTCCGGCAGGGGAGGAGGAGCGCCCAGGAGTTCGCTTTAGAATTCCGAACTCTAGTGGCGGATGCAGGGTGGAATGAGCGGGCCCTCATCGATCACTACCGCTGTAGTCTACGAGAGGACGTCCGTCGGGAGCTGGCCTGCAGGGATACCAGCCTCACTTTCGATCAGTTAGTGGACATGTCCATCAGGCTGGACACCCTGCTGGCTACCCGCGGACGTTCCGAGGGGGGTCCGTCCATTCCATCCTCCAGCACCTCCGAGCCGAGCCCTATGGAGCTCGGGGGTGCTGGCACTAGAGAGAGGAGGGTTTGGAGCACGAGGGGGGCCGTCCCCTGCACCAACTGTGGCCGTGGCGGACACACCGTGGCTAGGTGCTGGGGAGGGTCTCCTAGGGGAGAAGACGACAGGCTCCGCACTGGGGAGTCCTTCCAGGTGAGTAGGCGCCCCACTTACCCAGAGCTCTCTGTTGCGCACTTCTGTATACCTGTGCGATTTCCACAGGTTGCACCTCATTCCCAGCATAAGGCGCTAGTAGATTCAGGCGCGGCTGGGAATTTTGTTGATAGTAAATTTAGTTTAGAATTAGGGATTCCCCTTCTTCCTGTTGACGTCCCATTCCCCGTTCATGCCCTAGATAGCCGTCCGTTGGGATCGGGCTTGATCAGGGAAGTCACAGCACCACTTAGGATGTGTACGCAGGGGGGTCATGAGGAGATTATCCAGCTATATCTGATCGACTCTCCTGCGTATCCGGTGGTGCTGGGAATGCCCTGGTTGAGTATCCATAATCCATCTATTTCGTGGCAGGAGAGGGCTCTGATGGAGTGGTCTGCCCAGTGTGTGGGGCGATGTTTAGGTGTTTCCGTGGGGGCTACCTCGGTGGAGAGTCCAAACCAGGTGCCCGCATTGCACATTCCCCCCGAGTATGAGGATTTGGCTATTGTGTTCAGTAAGTCGAGGGCGACGCAGTTACCTCCTCATAGGCAGGGAGATTGTGCGATAGACCTCCAGGCAGGAGCTGCGCTCCCACGGAGCCATGTGTATCCTCTGTCTCAAGAGGAGAAGAGAGCTATGGAGACTTACATAGACGAATCTCTGAGACAAGGATACATACGGCCATCCACTTCCCCTGCGTCCTCGAGCTTCTTTTTTGTGAAGAAGAAGGATGGAGGGTTACGCCCGTGCATTGATTACCGTAGTCTCAATCAGATCACGGTGAAGTACAGTTATCCACTTCCTCTGATTGCGACCATGACGGAGTCATTGCACGGGGCACGTTTTTCCACAAAATTAGATCTCAGGAGCGCTTACAACTTGGTACGCATTAGAGAGGGCGATGAATGGAATACAGCGTTTAGTACCACCTCGGGTCATTACGAGTATCTTGTCATGCCATACAGGTTGATGAACGCTCCTTCAGTTTTCCAATCATTCGTGGATGAGATCTTCAGGGACATGCAGGGGCAGGGGGTGGTCGTGTACATAGATTACATTCTTGTGTACTCGTCTACCCGAGTCGAGCATGTGGCCCTGGTGCGCCGAGTGTTGAGGAGGCTGTTGGAGCACGACCTGTATGTCAAGGCAGAGAAATGTCTGTTTTTCCAGGAGTCGATCTCCTTTTTGGGTTATCAGTTGTCTGCGTCAGGGGTGAAGATGGAAGTTGACCGGGTGTCAGCCGTGCGTAACTGGCAGACTCCAACCACTGTTAAAGAGGTGCAGCAGTTTTTGGGGTTTGCAAATTACTACCGGATGTTTATCCGGGGTTTTGGACAGGTGGCAGCTCCCATAACGTCTCTTTTGAAGTGGGGTCCGGTGCGTTTGCAGTGGTCAGCCGAGGCGGACAGGGCTTTTGGGAGACTGAAGGACCTGTTTACTTCGGCTCCGGTGCTGGCGCATCCGGATCCCGCTTTACCATTTCAGGTTGAGGTGGACACGTCAGAGGCCGGTATAGGGGCCGTGCTTTCGCAACGGTCCGGCACGCCACCTAAACTCCGCCCCTGTGCCTTTTATTCCAAAAAGCTCAGTCCGGCGGAGCGAAATTATGACGTAGGGGACAGGGAGCTGTTAGCCGTGGTAGAGGCCCTAAAGGTGTGGAGGCATTGGCTTGAGGGGGCTCAACACCCTTTTCTCATTTTGACTGACCACCGTAACCTGGAGTACATCCGGGCAGCTAGGAGACTGAACCCTCGCCAGGCGCGGTGGAACATGTTTTTGGCCCGGTTCGTATTTAAGATCACGTACATCCCTGGGTCACAGAACGGTAAGGCAGACGCACTGTCTCGCGGTATGACACGGAGGAGAGGTCCGTGGAGCCCACTCCCATACTGCCGGAGTCTTGTCTGGTGGCACCGGTAGTGTGGGAGGTCGATGCTGAAATCGAGTGGGCGTTGCGCACCGACCCTAGTCCTCCTCAATGCCCGGAGGGTCGGACGTACGTCCTGCTCGAGGTTCAGGATCGATTGATATATTGGGCTCACACGTCACCCTCCTCTGGACATCCTGGTATTGGCCGGACAGTGCACTGCCTTAGTGCTAAGTACTGGTGGCCCACGTTAGCCAGGGATGTGAGGGTTTATGTCTCCTCCTGCTCGGTGTGCGCCCAGTGTAAGGCGCCTAGACATCTGCCTAGGGGTAAGTTACAACCCCTGCCCGTTCCACAACGACCATTGTCTCACCTCTCGGTGGACTTCGTCACTGACCTTCCCCCCTCGCAGGGGAATACTACTATACTGGTCGTTGTGGACCGGTTCTCTAAGGCCTGTCGTTTGCTCCCTATGCCGGGCCTTCCTACTGCCCTACAGACCGCCGAAGCGCTATTCACCCATGTTTTCCGGCACTATGGGGTACCCGAGGATATTGTGTCTGATCGAGGTCCCCAGTTCACCTCCAGAGTCTGGAGAGCATTTATGGAGCGTTTGGGGGTCTCGGTGAGTCTTACCTCGGGTTACCATCCAGAGAGTAATGGGCAGGTGGAACGTGTGAACCATGATGTGGGTAGGTTTCTTAGATCATACTGCCAGGGCCGGCCGGAGGAGTGGGCACGGTATGTTCCCTGGGCAGAAATGGCCCAGAATTCCCTACGCCACTCCTCAACTAACCTAACCCCTTTCCAATGTGTGTTAGGTTACCAGCCGGTTCTGGCACCATGGCAGCAGAGCCAGATCGAGGCTCCTGCGGTGGATGAGTGGGTGCGGCGCTCGGAGGAGACGTGGAACGCTGCACACGTCCACCTGCAGTGGGCCATCCGTCGTCAGAAGGCGAGCGCCGATCTCCACCGCAGTGAGGGGCCGGTGTACGTACCTGGTGATCGAGTCTGGCTCTCTACCAGAAACCTACCCCTCCGCCTGCCCTGCCGGAAGCTGGGTCGGCGGTTTGTGGGGCCGTTTAAAGTCCTGAGAAGATTGAACGAGGTGTGTTACAGATTACAACTGCCTAGTGACTATCGTATTAACCCCTCATTCCATGTGTCTCTTCTCAGGCCGGTGGTAGCTGGTCCACTCCAGGAAGATGAGATCAGAGAGACTCCTCCGCCCCCATTGGACATCGAGGGGGCACCGGCGTACACCGTGCGGTCCATCTTGGATTCGAGACGTCGGATGGGGGGTCTCCAATATCTCGTGGAGTGGGAGGGGTACGGCCCGGAGGAACGGTGCTGGGTGCCGAGGAGAGACATTTTGGATCCGTCTCTCCTGACAGAATTCCACCGTAGTCACCCGACGCGCCCTGCTCCGCGTCCTCCTGGTCGTCCCCGAGGCCGGGGTCGGCGCACGGCTGGAGCCGCGCGTCAAGGGGGGGGTACTGTCACGGTTTCGGCCGAGGTTGCCTCTCTTCCTTGCTCGGGCAGGCTTCGGCGGTCGTCGTCTCCGGAGCACTAGCTGCCACTGTTGTATGTTTCGATGTTCGTTTGGTTTTGTCTTGATGTTGTACACCTGTTATCGTTTAGCGTTCATTATTGTCCTATAAGTTCTCGTTGTGTTTGTCATGTGTTGTGTGTGATTGAACTTGCTGTCGTGTATGTCTGTGCTTCGTTCGCTCCTCTGTGTTGGAGAGGTTCTCGCACGTGTTTGTGCGTTATTGTTATTTTGTTTGATTTTACGCCTGTGTGCGTAATCGCTCGTATCCAAGCTCTTTTGACTCGTTTTGAGTTTTGGTTCACTAAAGTCTATTGGACTAAGTTCCTGCGTCCTGCGCTTGATTCCTGCACCACACCTTCACAGCACACCTTCTGACACAGAGTCCTCTTGGACAGGTCTATTACTGTTCCTATAGTCTGTTTCTATGCTGGACAGCCTAATTAAAAGACCTTGGGTGTGTCCATAATGGCACCCGATTCCCTATATAGTGCACTACTTTAAACCAGAGCCCTATGGGACCTGGTTTAAAGTAGTGCACTGTAAAGGGAATAGTGTGCTATTTGAGACACACTCGTCATTAGAGCCCATTGGTTTAGTGCTGTAGCTGGACAGCTCATTGCCTCATTCCCTTTACCTAACCTTTCTACAGTTATAGAGGGGAATGGTTCAGCACGGAAGGCTGCCAGAAACACCATGGGTTACTCTGCTCCCCTGCCAATAACTTGGTAAAATGGGTTAGGCAGTTGGAAAATCGCCCTGCAGTGTGTGTGAGAGAGTAGAGAGCTAGAGAGAGGTAAACCCATTCTCTATAATACCTAACCTCTCTCTCTCTCTCTCCTTCTCTCTGAGAAGAGAAAGGAGAGACGGAGAAGAAGAAGCGCGGAGACCTCTCTCTCTCCTTCGCTCAGAGAGCTCTCCGTCTCTCATCGATTCCTCTCTCTCTTCCCTATTCTTCTCTCTGTCTCTCCCTTTCCTTCTCTCTCTAGATTATCCTGCGCTCTCTCTCTCTATCTTTTTCTTCATCTCTCTTCTCTCTCTCTCTCTCTCCTTCTCTCTCTATCTCTCCTTCTCTCTCTGACTCTGTCCTATTAAGGTCCATCATGCTTTCAGACTGAAAAAAAGGTTCTCCTCCTCGGGGAGCGAGCGACTCTAAATACTTAATAGTGTGAACCGGTAGTCCTGATCTGACAAAGAGGGCTAGTTAGACGGAAGGCTTCAATATACTGCTTTGATCTGGCAGAAGAGGTCTGATCCATGTTCTTATTGTAATGAGGTAGGGAGAGGAGTATGCATTTTAGAAGTATTTGGAGGTTCCTATAAAGTACTCCTCCATAATGAACTGAGACCTTATTAAAACTAAAGAGGCCAGTTCAATAGTTTGACCTCCCTCATAATGACATTGATCTGGTGGCTTCAAACCCTGACCACAGAGATGAATTTTGAAACCTCACTGTTTCCCTCTCTCACATACATGAAGAAACACACACGCATAAACATAAACACAGACACACAGACCTCGTGTGCCGTTGAAGAACAGGGTCTGTCTGCGAGGGTTCTGGATAACCACGATGGAGCCGTCATAGTTCTGCAGACGGCAAGAGATCTGGGCCGTGCCTCCTTCCAACACAGTCACATTCTCAGCCTGCACCGCCTGGCAACGTGCTAGAGAGAGAGAGAGGGAGAGAGAGAGAGAGAGAGAGAGAGAGAGAGAGAGAGAGAGGAGAGAGAGAAGAGAGAGAGAGAGAGAGAGAGAGAGACATATTTAGTTTCAACCTCAATACAAACCCCAACATTCACAGAAAAGCAAGTAAACAACCATTGATTCTGCTCCATTGACAGTCAATATACATAGACTTGATACTTTCTTAAGGGGGGGTAAATTTAGTCTTTAGAACCTCTTATCCAACGACTTAAAGTTAGTAAGGCATACATTTCTTTTTTTCTACTGGTCCCCGGGGAAAAAAAACAAACCCCTACACCCGGCTTTGCAAACGCCATGCTCTACCAACTGAGCTACACTGGAACATGATTCATGATTCATGATTCATGAATACTAGTGTCCTTTTTGAAGGATAGTAGCAGCAGAGTCATATAACATGGCTCTGAGTAGCATTAGGAGTGGGAGAGATGTAGAGAAACTGATAGAAACAGTGCGCGAGAGAGAGCGAGAGAGAGAGAGAGTGCGAGAGATGGTGACGAAGAGAGAGAGAGAAACAAATGCTGTTATTAATTGACATGGACACAGGCAGGGAGAGCGGTAAATGAGCTTGGTGGTTGGACTGTTCTCATTATTATCATTAGCAGCCATTAGCCTAACACAGTCCTAATAGAGAGACTGACATACTGTAGCAACACAACACACACATTGGACTGTGGGTTCATCATTAGAGGCAGATGGGAGCCATACAAGCTAAGTGGCCAACAGGAGTAATACACACACAGAGACACATATAAGCCTCTCTCTCTTTCTCCTACATACGCTCTCTCTACCCTTCTCTCTCGGCTCACACACGTATGCATCCCTTCACACACGTATGCACATACGCAGCCACACACACACACACATACAGGTAATCATGGTTTGGAGTTCAGCCTTCTTGCAACCTGTCTGTATTGGGCATTGCAGTTTGAACTGAGGTCATGGTAATGTAATGGTGGCTCGTGTTTGTGGTTGTGTGTGTGTGTGTGTGTGTTTGTGGTTGTGTGTGTGTGTGTGTGTGTGTGTGTGTGTGTGTGTGTGTGTTTGTGGTTGTGTGTGTGGTTGTGTGTTTCACACTCACAGCCCAGAAGGAGTACTTAACATAAAGAACAACATTGATATTGAAACTGGGTGATGGAGAAGCCACTAAAGCAAGTCAATACAGAGACATGCCTACATTATACAGGATCTGGCCGTGTTCTATCCAACCCTGTGAAAAGTATTCTAGAAGGCTGTGGAAATAGTGTGGGACAGACAGATGGGCGCTGACAGTCACGAGTTGCTGAGTTAACTACTTTGGGAATGACAATATCTGCACTCTAGTGAACCTGTGTGTGTGTGTGTGTGAATGAGTGAGTGAGTGAGTGAGTGAGTGAGTGAGTGAGTGAGTGAGAGAGAGAGAAATAAAGAGAGAGAGAGAAATAAAGAAAGAGTGAGAGAGAGAGAGAGAGAGAGAGAGAGGAGAGAGAGGAGAGAGAGAGAGACGGAGAGAGAGAGACGGAGAGAGAGAGAGAGAGAGAGAGAGACGGAGAGAGAGAGAGAGAGAGAGAGAGAGAGAGGAGATAGACGGAGAGAGAGAGAGAGAGCGAGAGGAGAGAGAGAGAGAGAGAGAGAGAGAGAGAGAGAGAGGACACAAAGAGGACGTCACAAAAAATCCTGGACAATTATCACTAATTGGAGTCATTATTATTCCCCATTCTCTACATCAATATTGTGATTCATATCACGGCCATCAGCGTTCGCCATCCCAATTATTTAGGCTACTTAATAACTGGTATTACTCATCACCCTGGCAACCGGCAACTTGGCCGCCATTGTTTTATTGATGCTAATTGTAATAGCAGCACCATATATCAAGCAGAGGCCCAGCCCGGGAAGTAATTGTGAGTAATTAGTATCAAAACAGCACATACAACTCCAGGCAGAAAGAAGTGGCGGGATGTTTGAGGCTGAGGCTAGAAAATAGGAGTAATTAGAGTCCATTGCTTCCACTTCCTCCGCCAGCTGTCACCTCTTCAATGGAGATAAGGCCTAGATACCCGCCGATGCTGCTGCTGGTTTAGAGACAGACAGACCAGGCAGGCAGCCCTGCGCTGTGCATGACACATCCACCACCTGGCTGCCAAGCCAACGGGACCAGGCGAGGGTGGCGGGAGACAGGGATAGAACAGAACAGTCAAGCCAGGAAATGAATGGAGGCGCAGAGCAGGGGTATAATAACACCACAGCTGGGAGAGAGATATGGGATGACGCAGGTCCCCTCAGCATGGCCCCACGGTGGCCCTGGCACTTTAACTGTAGTTTTTATAGTCATCCATCCACTGTAGGCCAGGGGCTTGTGAATACCAATAGGCAGGGCTATCCTTCTAGTAGTGTGACTAAAAGAGTGAAAAGACGCTCCGTGGCAGAAGTATTAATCCTGACCCCATTAAAATCAGGGCCATAATAAAATACTCCACAAGCACGGAATTAGATTGAGAGAGAATGTAAGGCGATCGATACCGAAACGGTGTACTGACAGTTTGAAAAACAGATAAATAAAACAATATATTATTGTCAGTTCTCCTTTCGGCCAAGTGGGGGCAGTGTTTCATCGCAGTGAAAGGCCCCTATCAGAGCTCCCCTCCACTCTCTCCACGGCCCTGAAAAGGTGCATTTATTTACGCCAGCTACACAGCGCCCAGACAGCCAATCATTTTCAAAATGCATAAACAAATAAATAAATAATACATATAGGTATAAATAAACAAGGCTGTATCCCGGGCGTCCTAAATGGTTCCCAAGGTGAAGCTGAGTTATAAGGAAGGTTAGAGGAGGGTGGAAGTTGGGACCACAGCCAGGCATATGAAGACGGAGGGGTCTCAGTAAATCCTAGAATGGCTCAGCGTGTAGCTTACTGTAGGATTAGTGGACTGAGTTACCGCCATGGAGAATTCAAGACAACGACGCGCGCGCACACACACACACACACACACACACACACACACACACACACACACACACACACAGCCTCCAGGTCAATAACAAGACAGGAGAGATAGGCTAGCAGCCAGCCAGAGGGACAAGGTCATAATGCCTCTAAACTCACAGGTAAAACATCACTGGGCCTACTTCACATGAGGTTGAGTCTAGCTAGGCTACACAACAGGTTAAGAAAACAGCTGTCTTTCCCAATGAAAGTGAATGTTTTTTTTACCAGTTAAGTGGGTTGACAACACATTCTCATTTAACAACATGGACCAAAGGAAGAGTTGCATTGGGGAATAGAGGAGTGGAAAGGAGATGGGATGTGCCACTTAGAAACAGGTGTGTTGATTGAGTTTGTATGGAGATAGGCCTAAACGCATGCACACATACATACACACACACCGTACATACATACACACACACCGTACATACATACACACACACCGTACATACATACACACACACCGTACATACATACACACACACCGTAGCAGTCCCTCAAGTCATTTTCTCTACTGTAATTAAATCAATAAAGCATTCTCTCTCAGCCTCAGCTTTGTTGGGATGTACTGTTCTAACCATTTCACCATTTATAACTCTTATTTCACTGGAACATATCCATTCCACACTACACTATCCCTATGCTGTGTCTGTCTGTGTGTGTGTGTGTCTGTCGGTGAAAAAGCTGACAGAATAAGATTATTATCCTTCCTCTCCTCCCTCTTCTGTCTCTCTTTCTGGTCTAAAATTATCACTCCATCTCTCCCAGGATTCTAACACTCTGCCAATCAAATCTACAAAAAAAGCCCCACCTATAAATAATACATAATCCTTTACAAATCTAGCTTCTTCTATTTCTCATTACCTTGTTCTGTTCACTCTCTATATCCCTATTTTCTTCCCATCTCTCTCTCTCTCTCTCTCTCTCTCTCTCTCTCTCTCTCTCTCTCTCTCTCTCTCTCTCTCTGTGTTTACATTGCCAAAGCAAGTTAAATAGATAATAAACAAAAGTGAAATAAACAATAAATAAAAAAATCTCACTTCTTTCTGGTCGCTTATTGCTCTCATTCTGTTCTCCTCCTCTCTCTCTCCCTCTCTTCGTGTTGGTCAGTGGAGCTCATAATTTTCCCCCTGCTGTATTCTTTTCACCTCTAATATCATTATCTCCCTCCCTCTTTCCCTCACCTTCTCCCTGCACTAATCCCCCATGCTCCTTCTATACCTTCATCTCTCATTCCTCCTCTCTTCTTCTCTGCGCATATTCACTGTCTTTTACTTGCCTCCCTCTATCCATTTCTCTCTTCCTTCATCTAGCCTCTAATCTTGCGATACTTTCCTTCCATTCTGCAATACTCCCCCTCTCTGTCTGCCTCTCTCTCTCTGACTCAGTGGGTATCTCTCATTCCCGCATGGTTCTATCTCCACACTCTCCTTCCCTAAATGTGATTTGTTCTGCAGCTCAAGTCTGCAGTATAATCATCCTGTTTTGTTCAGGACAGGGAGGAAGGGAGAGAGAGGGAGAGGGATTGAGAGAGAGGACATGAGGACAAACATATTCTCTCTCTCTCTAACAGCAGAATCACCATAAAATGATCTGTTCTCCCTTTTGTATGATTCTATTTCTCTTTCTCACACATCTACTCTTCCTCTCCCCTGCTTTACACTCTCCTCTCTTCTCACTGCTCCTCTCTTCATCTCACCCCACCTCACATCTCTGTTCACCCCTCCCATCCTTCTCACAGCTATCTTTTGACCTTCATGTTCTTTATGACCTTCACCATATTTCCATGACCCCATTCCCTCCCTCTCTCCCTACCGCTCTGCTCATCTCATCTCATCTCTCTCTCTCTCTCTCTCTCTCTAAATACCTCACACTTTCTCGCTCTCTCTATCCCCCCACCTCACTCTCCTCTCACTATATTACCCCCCCCTGTCCTTCACAACCTCTCCTCTCCCTCTCTTTCAATCCCTTCTCTCTTTACCTCTCTCTGTTTTCCACCAGTGTGTATGCAGTCCTTTTAAACAGCTAAAGCTGGTTAGCCATGGCGTTTATGACAAGCCGTCACAGCCCAACACTGCTCTGGCAACGACTGCCACACACAACAAGGGCAGCTTAAGGAAAATGTACAGGCCCATTACACGTTGATACCACGCTGGAGATTCACGGTGGCCAAGAGGAGAGAGTCTTAACCCCCCCCCCCCTCAATCCCTCTACCTGGCCAGTCTTCCTCCTCCTGCTCACTGCTCACCCAAAACTGCTTCATTGGCAGGAATTATATAACCCAGCCTCCTTGCCAAGGCTAAAAACTAATTCACTCTCTCTTTCCATCCCTCTCCCTCATTCTCTCGCTCTTCTATTGTCATCCATTCCCTCCCTCCCTCCCGCCATCCCATGCCACGAAATGTCCCTGTGTAGATCCAATATGCAAATTCTGTGTTCAATCCAGATTTTGATTGGCTTGGAGGAAGTGGACGCGTTGCAGCCATGGTTATTTACAGAACATCTCTGCATATTAAAACGCTGCTTGAGCCCAAATAGAATAATGACAGGATGTATTCATGGTATCAGTGGTGCTACCAGTGATCCTAATAAGAGATCAAAGACAGGGAAAACACCAGCTCTCCTGCCCACAGTGCTTCCTGGGCTCACTGTCTTTCTCTCTCTCCCTCCCTCTCACTTGCCTCCCCTTTTGCTTTTTTCTCCCTCTCTCCCTCCTTCTACCACTCTCTGTCTCTCTTTCTTTCTCTCTCCTTCTCCCTCTATTTCCTCTGGTCACAGTTTATTTTGTGGTGTACTTCAGAAGGCTCTCGGAGGCTGTGAACACTTTTTAAATATATATCTCTCTCTTTCTTTCTCTCTCTCTCTCATGCAGTCCAGAACCTCATCTCTTCATGCATTCCCTCATCCCTTGCCTCTTTTAACTCTAATCCTCCATTCCGGTTTGTGTTTCCCCAGTCCTATAGCCCCATGGGTGTATCCCATCATCTCTACAGCGCTCTGCTCATACATAATGCTAATTGCAAATTCACACCTAAATCATAGACATTTGAGAGTTCAATCACACTCTACTTTTCTCTCGATCCACTCAATCTTTCTATCCCTACGTGCCCTGTCTTCAATTTCCCTCACTCTATAGCTTTTCCCCATTTCACATTACATTTATTAACTCTCCCGATCTTCCCATTTCTCTCATCCATTATCACGTATTGGCCACAATCATCACACTGTGAGAGGTGAAAGATGGAGAAAGATGATCTATCTTGATGTAGCGAGGTGAGAGTGTGTGTACAGATGTAGGATCTTAATTTGAGCCAGTTTGCTACAGCAGGACAAAAATCCTGCAGCAACAGGAAATGTGAATTATTATGTGTATTATAATTAATAGACATTTTTGAGGGGTTGATACATTTTTCGTAAGGGAAAATCAGGTCTGAAATTTCAAAGTGGAAATTACAAACTTCAGAAGCCTTTCTAAACCTCACACACACTAGCTACAAGTTTAAAATGTCCTGCATTGCAGAAAAGTTCTGCAACAGGGTGATCAAATTAAGATCCTACATCTGTATATAAGTTAGTGTGTGTCGTCATGTGTACAGTGGGGAAAAAAAGTATTTAGTCAGCCACCAATTGTGCAAGTTCTCCCACTTAAAAAGATGAGAGAGGCCTGTAATTTTCATCATAGGTACACGTCAACTATGACAGACAAAATGAGAAAAATAAATCCAGAAAATCACATTGTAGGATTTTTTATGAATTTATTTGCAAATGATGGTGGAAAATAAGTATTTGGTCAATAACAAAAGTTTCTCAATACTTTGTTATATACCCTTTGTTGGCAATGACACAGGTCAAACGTTTTCTGTAAGTCTTCACAAGGTTTTCACACACTGTTGCTGGTATTTTGGCCCATTCCTCCATGCAGATCTCCTCTAGAGCAGTGATGTTTTGGGGCTGTCGCTGGGCAACACGGACTTTCAACTCCCTCCAAAGATTTTCTATGGGGTTGAGATCTGGAGACTGGCTAGGCCACTCCAGGACCTTGAAATGCTTCTTACGAAGCCACTCCTTCGTTGCCCGGGCGGTGTGTTTGGGATCATTGTCATGCTGAAAGACCCAGCCACGTTTCATCTTCAATGCCCTTGCTGATGGAAGGAGGTTTTCACTCAAAATCTCACGATACATGGCCCCATTCATTCTTTCCTTTACACGGATCAGTCGTCCTGGTCCCTTTGCAGAAAAACAGCCCCAAAGCATGATGTTTCCACCCCCATGCTTCACAGTAGGTATGGTGTTATTTGGATGCAACACATCATTCTTTGTCCTCCAAACACGACGAGTTGAGTTTTTACCAAAAAGTTCTATTTTGGTTTCATCTGACCATATGACATTCTCCCAATCCTCTTCTGGATCATCCAAATGCACTCTAGCAAACTTCAGACGGGCCTGGACATGTACTGGCTTAAGCAGGGGGACACGTCTGGCACTGCAGGATTTGAGTCCCTGGCGGCGTAGTGTGTTACTGATGGTAGGCTTTGTTACTTTGGTCCCAGCTCTCTGCAGGTCATTCACTAGGTCCCCCTGTGTGGTTCTGGGATTTTTGCTCACCGTTCTTGTGATAATTTTGACCGCACGGGGTGAGACCTTGCGTGGAGCCCCAGATCGAGGGAGATTATCAGTGGTCTTGTATGTCTTCCATTTCCTAATAATTGCTCCCACAGTTGATTTCTTCAAACCAAGCTGCTTACCTATTGCAGATTCAGTCTTCCCAGCCTGGTGCAGGTCTACAATTTTGTTTCTGGTGTCCTTTGACAGCTCTTTGGTCTTGGCCATAGTGGAGTTTTGAGTGTGACTGTTTGAGGTTGTGGACAGGTGTCTTTTATACTGATAACAAGTTCAAACAGGTGCCATTAATACAGGTAACGAGTGGAGGACAGAGGAGCCTCTTAAAGAAGAAGTTACAGGTCTGTGAGAGCCAGAAATCTTGCTTGTTTGTAGGTGACCAAATACTTATTTTCCACCATCATTTGCAAATAAATTCATTAAAAATCCTACAATGTGATTTTCTGGAATTTTTTTCTCAATTTGTCTGTCATAGTTGACTTGTACCTATGATGAAAATTACAGGCCTCTCTCATCTTTTTAAGTGGGAGAACTTGCACAATTGGTGGCTGACTAAATACTTTTTTCCCCCACTGTATGTTTGAATGTACAGTATGTATCTTTTCGGTGAATGCACATTGAACATGCATTGCGCATGCAAGTGGGTGTGCACGCGCATGTGTGTGTGACTTACGAGCAAGGCAGAGCAGGAGCAGGGCACGCAGGGAGAGGGAGAGGGGGGTTGGGAGGAGGAGGAGAGATCTCGGGCCAGGCCTCATTGTGTATTGAGCCTCAGTAGCTGTCTGATCAATGCTTCCTCTGTGACACAGGACACAGCCACCGTACAGCAGAGCAGAGCACAGCAGAGCAGAGCTAGGGTTGTAGTGACACACAACAAAGCTGGGGCTTTACCAGTACACAACACACACTTTTCTTCAGAGCTGTAGTCTTTTGACAAAATACCACCGACCTAACATCACCACAGCGTAGAACTAGAATGTCTTACAACGTTACTGCTAACTATCAATGAATGTTAGGCTCACCACACGATTAGCCAAATGACTGCCTGCAATCAGAGCTGCATTGCGGTGTAAGACTACATGACTAAACAACAAATCAATGGAACAAAGCAATAATACAAACCAATAGGCTATCCCAATACCAAACAAACCAATATCATTACTCTACATCAGCCAGACAGACACATCGGAGTAAACCATCTGAAACAAGTCATTATACTGTCCTATTCATGAAACTGTTTCTGTATGACCATATCTCCTGTCTTTCCTCATGCTATTATGAGGTACCTATATCTCTCAACTCTGGGCTTCATCCCCACACATGATACTTTTGATAACCCAAACATGTCATCAGCTAAATTGTCTCCCACTGTTCACTATCATACATCACCGACTCCAACTGTGATGGTAACTGCTTTTCAAATGCTACCTACCTACCTACCTATCTATCTATCTATCTATCTATCTATCTATCTATCTATCTATCTATCTATCTATCTATCTATCTATCTATCTATCTATCTATCTATCTATCTATCTATCTATCTATCTATCTATCTATCTATCTATCTATCTATCTATCTATCTATCTATCTATCTATCTATCTATCTATCTACCTATCTATCTATCTATCCCACTGTAGACCTATAGTATAACACGTATGTATGTCATCCCTCTGTATGATTATACAGTATCACAACGTCTCTCTCTGCTACACACGGCTGCGTCCAGGCACTATGTTCAGTCCCTGTGTTGAGTCTCGTGTTCAGTACCCGCTCTGTCAGTGAGCTCAGATCAACTGCTGCGGTCCGTGTGGAGTTGGTTGTTGGTTCTGATTGGCAGCTCCTAATGCAGCGGCGGCGAGGGCCAGGCCCGGAGAGCATATAGCTTACTGAGGGTGACCGGACTGCAGCAGCACTCACCTCGCTGAACACTATCTGATTGAGGAGAACAGCGGTGTCATCCCCAGATTGCTACAAAGTCCCCTCCCTTCTGTCTGCAATTAGCCAGTCAATGCTACCACTACGGCGCAGCGTGCCCTGGCACTGTCAATGGCACTGAAGTAGTCACAGACTTGTCATGGAACCTCCGAGTCCCTAACAACAACCACACCACAACCTGACACCAAGGAAATTGTTATGTGCTGTCTGTCGTTGTAGCTCGGAAAGGATAGTGTCCTTCTGATCAAAACACAGTCTATTCCGTGTTTTCTCTTCTCGTCTCATCCCCCTCTCTCATGGTTGTTTTGTTATCCTGTCGTCTCTTCTCTCTCTATCCTCAGTCAGGTCGATATAGTGGGACAGTGCTTTAGTTCCTGTGTGTTTCCTCTTCCTCCTCCTCCTCCTGTTCCTCTCTGTCCTTCAGTATATCCCAGAGTAGTGTCAGCTGTCTATCTGTCCGTCTGTGTCTGGTTTATATAACCCCTGCTCTCCTCCCACAGCCTGCCTGATTCCACTCTCTATCAGTGTGTGTAAGTGTGTGTGTTTGTCCGCGGATGCAGATTTAGCATATTAGTTATTTTGTGAAGGTTTGGGGTGTGGATGTGACAATGACTGTCTTTCAGGTCAGGGAACAGTGGCTGTGTGTGTGACCGCCCAGCAGTCCATTCAGACAGGGTATATAGTTGGGTCTGTTTAGGATGGCTCTATAGTCACCAAGGCCTTCTTCCCCTACAATCCCTCAGTTCAAACACAGAGACAGAGAGGCAGAGGTCTCATAGAGCTCCTCTATGTCCAATGGCCCGTTTTATGGCCACTGTATTACAGTTTTTCTCCATTGGTTTGGCTCATTTCTTGAAACAGAAATTACATTCTCAAAACTACATGGACAAACCTCCAAACCACTTGGCAATTGTTCACAACAGAATTGAATTTCTCATTCATTTCATCAAATTGCAAATGTCTAAGTACATGTCTCAATGTCTCAGTACATCTTTGCAAATGATTAAGTACAGGTAGCCTACATTTAGCACAATTTCCAAGTGAATAGATCTTGTTGATCTAAACTGATTGTTGATTCTCAGTCTAATGGTTGTTCGCTCCAAAACGTGTCAGCGTCATTTCATTGTATAAGTCATCACATGCACAATAGTCTGTTCAATTGTCAAAATTAGTCAAGAACATAATACCATGAATACCATATATGAATCCCTTGGAACATTTGATAAATTTATTACAGCAATTGACAGTCAGGGTGAAACTAGAACTTGACTAACGAAGGAGGAGTTTCACACATCTCAGATGACCAATCAAACAGTATGTTTAGTTACCTGACAGGTGCTGTCCATGACTGTGAATGCTGCCAAACATGTATGTAAAGAGCTTGACCATGCAGGACCAGTACAATTTCTGAACATGGAGGCACCTGGCCAAGGGCCGAAGACGTGGCCGTAATATTATTGGCCACCGGGCCATGGTGGATGTCCCAGGCCAGCGAGGGGGCAATATAAACTATGTGTGCTGCCATATCGGAGAATGGTGTGGCCACTCACATCCCCAGTCTTGGCCCATACAATACACAGAAGCTCCTCATCTTCTTGGACCGCCTTCATGTTGATTTGATCCCTGAAAATGAGAGCGGTCTCGTAGGGCCTCACCTACCACAATATGTCATTGTATGGGACAATGTGAATTTCCACCGTGGCCCGCTCATCAGGGCCTGGTTCACTACTCATCCAAGGATGGTCATGGTGTTCCTACCACCTTACTCTCCTTTCCTCAATCCTATTGAGGAGTATTTCTCCGCTTGGAGGTGGAGAGTGTATGAGCATCGGGCTCAAGATCAGAGGTCCCTGCTCCATGCAATGGACGCTGCGTGTGAGGATATTACAGGAGATCAGTGTAGGGGATGGTTGCGACATGCACGCCGTTTCTTCCCTCGTTGCATCGCAAGGGAGAATATACGCTGTGATGTGGACGAGAATCTGTGGCCAGACAGACAGCAGCGTGTGGATGGCCAGGAGGGTGAGGACAGCGACCAGTGAAGAACTGTTAGTTGTGAAACTCCAGCTTTATTTACAGCACTGTAGGCTGCATATAATTTTCATTGTTTTTTTGTTTGTGTGTTTATATTACAGTATATTATGCTGTATACATTTTCTTTTTACTCTGATGTATGGAAGTTACTTTATGTGTGTGAATGATAATGGTTACAATTTCCTTGGCAGTATGAGTGCAATGTGTGATGTCAAACCTTGGAGGCTACTCTTACCCTAAAATCCTATTTATTTTTTTTCAGTTTTATACACAATTGTATTCTGTTAGCTGGACAAAAAACAGTACAGTAACCATTGTCAATGAAGGACTGGGCTAAGACTGAAAGGTGGACATGAGGGATATTTCAATGGTCCTCTGCCATAGTGACAAAACATCTAAACATTTTGACTTGCAGTGCTTACACAATGCCAAAGGGACGAAGCATTTTGGGGGCACTGACTGTTTAAATGAGAAGGAAATTTAGTTTTGACACATGCGTGAACTGTTTTGGGAGAGGTATGAGCTTTTGCAGGTGAACCATGGTGTTGTGCCGAACCATCCACGTTATTTTGGCTAAAGCACCAAGAGTGTTGAGAACGTCCGGTCTGTTTCAAGAAATGAGCCAAAGCAATTGAGAAGGATCTTTGCCATTTTCGTGGCACTGACTCCTTATATGGGAAAGGAATTTAGTTTTGAAGCATGAGTGAACAGTTTTAGGAGAGATATGAGCTTTTGCAAGTGAGCTATAGTGTTGTGCTGAACTGTAAGACTGTTTTGCCAAATGATCTTAGAGTTTTGAGAATGTAATTTCTGTTTCAAGAAATGAGCCAAACCAATGGAGAAAAACTGTAAGACAGTCCATAATGGCTGCATGTGTGTGTCTGTATGTGTGTTCTCAGAACAGTGTGTGTGTCTGTATGTGTGTTCTCAGAACATTGAGTGTGTCTGTATGCGTGTTCTCAGAACATTGTATGTGTCTGCATTTGTGTTCTCAGAACATTGTGTGTGTCTGCATGTGTGTTCTCAGAACAGTGTGTGTGTTTGTGTCTGTATGCATGTTCTCAGAACAGTGTGTGTGTTTGTGTCTGCATGTGTGTTCTCAGAACAGTGTGTGTGTGTCTGTATGTGTGTTCTCAGAACAGTGTGTGTGTCTGTATGTGTGTTCTCAGAACAGTGAGTGTGTCTGTATGTGTGTTCTCAGAACAGCGTGTGTGTTTGTGTCTGCATGTGTGTTCTCAGAACAGTGTGTGTGTTTGTGTCTGTATGTGTGTTCTCAGAACAGTGTGTGTGTCTGTATGTGTGTTCTCAGAACAGTGTGTGTGTTTGTGTCTGCATGTGTGTTCTCAGAACAGTGTGTGTGTTTGTGTCTGTATGCATGTTCTCAGAACAGTGTGTGTGTCTGTATGCGTGTTCTCAGAACAGTGTGTGTGTCTTTATGCGTGTTCTCAGAACAGTATGTGTGTGTGTGTTTGGAAGCACTGTGTGTTTGGGTTTTTATGCATTTGTGAGCATGTGACCGTGGATCCTGTTGATGTCAGTAAGCAAAGGTGAGTTTCCTAAGTGCTTGATGAGACTGTAAACAGACTCTGTTACTCACAGTCTTTAACACAGTAATGAGACATAGATGTACGCCACTCTAAGAAATCACAGTAGTTTTCTAATCCATCTGTCATAACACAAATGTATATTTTGCTCTACCCGCCATTCAGGGGTTAACCTTTTACTGCAGTGGGCTAAGTCAGTGTCACGCCCTGACTCAGGGGACTCGTATATGTTGAGGCAGGGTGTGTATGTTCTATGTTGTGTATTTCTATGTTGGTTTTCTAGTATGTCTAGATCTATGTTGGCCGGTGTGGTTCCCAATCAGAGGCAGCTGT